CCAAAGGAAAGTGAAGGAGCAGATTTTCGGGAAAAGAAAAGTAGCATCTATCAGGAAGCATCTGGGATAAAACCCCAAGAGGGGAGAAACGGGGAGCAAGGAGAGCAGATCACATGCAATAGGAAAGCAGCAGGTGGGAACCCTTGCTCAGGGATGGGGGCCCCAGGCTGAGCCCTCATCCCCTGCAGCCCCACAGCCACGCAGCGACCCAGAAGCCAGACTCCCCCAAGACCCCATGCCCCATCCCCTCCCTGGCCTTGCGGTGGGACCCTACTTGATGAAGAAGATGCGGCCGTCCCCGCAGACACCGTAGGTCCACCTGCCCGGCAGGTCCAGCCAGTCGATGTCATCTGCCATGGGCACAGCACCCAGCAGCCCGGTCCTGTGCTCTTCGCACCGCTTGGGAAATGCAGAACAATTCCTGCCCCCACCCCGAGCAAACACTTGCTTAGTTCAGACCTTCCACCCAGGTTGTGTTTGCTGCTGCAAATAACCCAGGAGGGAGGGAAAGAAAAAAAAAGGAAAAGGAAAAACCAAACCCATCAACTTAACCCTCTGAGAGCCGGGCTGCAGGGTTCAGAGGGCACGGCTCCGAGTGACTCTGCAGGGCTAAGCCCATCGCCGCTTCCTCCACTGCCTACTCGGTGTAATTACCATCAATTAACTCGGGCTGAGTAATGATGGAGTTGTTCCTTCCCTCTCCTGCTCATTTTAAACAATGTCAAATTCTTCTCTCCGTCTGATCTCGCAGCCAAGCAGAGGCAGTATGTAGGGCACCCTGATGACTATCTGCTGCGCTCTCGGTGCTGCCCGATGGGTATTTTCTCTCTGCTCGCTCTTAGCCATCAATTAAATGTCTTTCAAGGGGAAAGGTGGGGTCTGGGAGGCAGCCGGGCTGGGTGACTGTGAGCCCTCGTGTCTCTGTGGTGCCTTTGGGGAGTTTCTCATGGCACAGGGAAATGAGCTGGTCTGGGGTGAGGGGAGGAGAGAGGTGAATGCAGGAGCTGGTGCCAAAGCAGGACGAAGGGGTTGTTCTGCTGAGCAATGCTCACATCAGAGTGGTTCTCTGATGGGATGCAGGGCATCAGTTCATCCAAAGGTTCTTCCTACGGCTCTTGTGCAAAAGCATCGGGAGAGAGAAGGGATGGCAGTGCAGCAGGGGACGATGCCACAGCCCCAGCACTGCTTTGCTGGGAAGGCTCTGCTTCGTGGGAGAAGTGCTGGGGTGCAAAGCGTCACACGTTGCACATAGGCTTGGTGCAAGATTGGGCCTCTTGTCTGCATCACACAAGCGCTCCTGCCCTTCTAATGTTCCCATCCAACATCACAGCTCTGCCACAAACCCGCACACCCCGAGGTTTGGTGCCACGATGCATCCCAGCTTTGGGAAGGTGAGACCCCACAGCAGCCAAAACACAGCTGGGAAATCCCTGCCCTTCGTGTTCTCTTTGCCCTGACCCCAGCAGCTCGGTGTGGTGCTGCTCCATCACAATGTCAGCTCTCTGGGAGGCACTGGGGACAACGAGGTCACCCCAAAGGCACAACTCCCTTCCTGCCTGCCCGGCCCAGCTCTGCTCACCGCAGTTTCGTTTACTCAGATCCACCTTCAATCTGAGTCACAGCTCAGCCTGAATCAGCGCTGAGCACAAACACTTTGGTGACCTGAACCAAAAGCATCCAATGCTCCGGGCACAGAGCAGCCAGAAGTAACCAGAGATGTCCTCATCTCAGCAATCAGGACCAGGAGTTTGCAAAGTCAGTGTCTGCTGGGTTGTTTCTTCCTTTTAAACGTTTTTTACATTTTAGATTTTTACAGATGTGACAATGAAACCTTCCAAGCAGGAGGGATTCCAAAGGGTTGCACGCAGCCATTGCGCTGAGAGCTCACTGTGAGCAGCTCTTGGCTTTTAGCCCAGGGCCAAACCTCTCTGATGATTGCAGCATCACCCCTACGACCACCCCAGGGGTGTGCGGGATCAGAGTCTGTGTGAGATAAGCTCAGATGATCCTAAAAGGTTTCCTACCCTCTCTCCAGCCCCTGGGGAGGGACGCCTTTCCCTGACTGTGGGTGTCACCGAGGTCCCCTCATTCATTTTGAGGTTACTTGTAGCAGTGATGGGGTTCAGCTGATCAGAGCTGCTGCAGGGAATCAGACGCCAACAGCAGAAGCAATGGAGCTGCTTTAGGCTGGGGTAAGGGAGGCAGAGCTGTTGGAGGGCTGTGCTGGACCTCCAGCCAAGAATGCTGAGCTCTGTTCTGCCAGGTAAATAAATCAGCTTTTATTGCTTTCCACAAGAGATTTTTTTTCAGCCCTCCCCCTCCCCCCATTTCTCTATAGCTTAAGCCAATGGAAATTCAAAGGGGAAATCCCAGCAAGGACTTGTTCTTTTCTTACTGTTTCCAATCCCTTTAAAACTCCCCGTTCATTCCCGCACAGGTTAGGGGCAGGCAGGCACACACCGAGGGCTTCTTTAGAACAACTCTTACTCTCCGTGCTTCCAGAGCTGATCCCAGCGAGGTTCCCAACCCCTCTCTGCACCCTTTAGCAGGGATGGCGAGCACGGGAGCATCCCGAGGGCATCGCACCGCCCGTGGCGCAGCAGCAGCAGCGCAGCTCTGGCACCACCTCCCGGGGAACGAACGGCTGCTCTCCGTATCTCCTCCCCTCTCCGTTCCTTCCGGCTGCTATCTGATCACCCGTTCACGTTTTTTAATGTTTCTTTTTGCTTTTCTTGCGTTAGAAAATAAGGTGTGGGTGCAGAGGGGGCAGCACCCTACCGCCATCTGGATCTCTCCAGCTCTTTCCCCAGGGTGCGTGCCTTGCTTGTGCCCATCTCCAGCCAGGGATGGAGGAATGGAGGGATGGATGGATGGATGGATGGATGGATGGATGGATGGATGGATGGATGGATGGA